CCCCAAAACCCCAAAACCCCAAAACCCCAAAACCCCAAAACCCCAGAAGTCCTGAATAAAATAGAGTAAATTTTATGAATAACATATTATTATGGAAATACCGGTATTGGAATCAACTTCTGTGAGTTCTTATAATCAACAATATTCTTTGTGCTTTTAGAGCACTTATGAGGTCTTCTAGGGAGCTTTCGGAGAAAGTTCATTACATCCTCATCCTGTTGCTTAGGAGATAACTTTGGAGGTTTTAGCTTGCTTTTTAGACATAAAGGGATCGATGACATATTTTTCTTGTTATAAAAGTTCCTCGAGATTGAGCTTTGGAGGTTATTTCAACGAGTTATAACAGCCTCCCTTGGTTCTATCAAAATAGTAAGTTTATGCAGAAATATTATTTAATGATTCCAAAATTGTAAACCCAGAATCTAGTGAAATTAAGAATTGTGAGTAACTTGGATTGGAGTAAAAACCCTTTTCTTTTGCTGGTACGATTACTTACTTTTGACAGGCATTTTTAAACTCGTCTAGTGGGCTTAGATACCTTACTGGGGTTCTATCCAGTCTTGAAATATCTCCTTTACTATCTTCTAAAATGTTGTTAGGACCATCCAGGAATAATTTGGGAGTTAAATTATGAAATTTGTTATGAAGAAGAAACATGTAAACTTGGTTTTCCGTATAATAATGTTCATCCCAAATTGAAACATAATGAGGAATGGATGCGCGTAGCTTATAATAATTTATCTCTCATCTTGATGCATATCTTCGTATGAATAATAAGTTACATAGCAAATTAGGCTCCTAAGATACTTCTGGGTACAGCTCAAGTGTTCATTGATTTATGTAGCTTACTGTTTGTAGGAACTCTAGTAATCGAAGAACTAGATAACGACTGAGGGATGGCAACAGCTGATTTTCTTCCAAGAGGGCTAGCTTTTGACATCTGTTTCCCTTTCTTGATCAAAATCTTCGATAAGGCCTTATCGGTAAAATAAGCTTGGGAATGACGAGTTTTTCTCAATTTTATTATCTACATGTAACTAAGGAGAGTACTTTTAAACCATTCTTATATCTAACCTTCTGTTTGAGGATGGCTCCTCTGCTTTGCTTGATCTTTGTTTTAAGGTCATTAACAAGTTCAGGCAGAAAAGTTTTATTTTCCTTGCTTAGTTTGTCGTATGACTTCAATATAGCAAGCTTTTCACAAAAAGGAATGCTCTTATCTAAATTTAACGAATTTTTGATGGTAGTCCTATTGAATTTGATACCAAATTCGTTCCTTGAATGTGAAGGGTTGTCTTTGAGACCTAAAATTATGAGAGGGAAGTTACTCCTTCTGATGTTGACTTTGGCTTGGAGGTCTGATATAACTTTATTCATCTCTATGAATCTTTACACTTATGTTTTATAAAAAGGATTTGAAATATCTCAAAACTATCTGAGGAAATCACCGATAACTCACATCTAAATTTACACTTTATCCTCTTCCCAAAACCCTCCTAAATGAACTTTACCTTTATCAAAGTATACTGTTGAAATCTGTAAATATTATTGACAATTAAGAAATTTTGGTAGGGGTTTTGGGGTTTTGGGGTTTTGGGGTTTTGGGG